TTCTCTTGGATCAGGCTCTTGTGAGAGCTGGAGTCCAGATCAAAGAAGAAAAAGTGATAGTCAGCATGAAAAATACAGGTAAGTTCTGACATGAACTGAAACAACGTTGCATGACAGTGTTTTGTTAATACTAAAGATTCTCCCTCAAACCTCCAGACTCAAATCAGAACCAGGCTCAGATCAGTACTATTACATCGAGCTGTGTGACTGCTGAAGAGGACTACACATACCAGGAGGTGCATATTGCAGACCAAAATAAATCCACTACCACTACAGTGGGGGATGTTCTGTCAATAACACAGCTGGTTTTACGGCGTGGCCTCACATTGCTGCTCATGGTCGTCATCCTCGTCGCTGGAATCTTCATCAGCGACTTCCTCGTCAAGTTGCTAAAATGAGTCCTCTAACGATGATAATCTGGCAGTCTGACTGATGGTTGTCAGGATTCATAGCATAAAGTTCCAATTAAACAATGTGTTCATGGTAACTCTAAATCACAGTGTAGTGCTATAGGGTTAACGTACTGTTGATCCCACTGAGGATCAACGCTGGAGGCTGTAGCTTTGGTCAGACTTTAGCTAAAAACTCTTGTCATGTATAACTGGACAGCCACTCTATGACAGAGAGCCAAATTAAACAAGGTTATAAGGGTGGAATATCTAGCAAGCAAACAGACTTTATTTTTGAGGGGTTAGCTGACTTATCCAGGGCTGAGTGTTTGGACTTTAATGGGATACTCATGTTCTGTTTCTGTTAAATGTATGAGTAACGTCAGGCAGGTATCTGCCTACATGATAGCCATAACAAATTTGATGAATGATGAGGCAGTACTTAATGTCATCGCTTTTTTCTGTGATTTTGTTTTGAAATCAACTCGTGAACCCTAGAGGGTGACAATTGTTTAATGCAACTTTAATTTGTCTCAGTCTGTTTGTCTCACACTATTCAGTAGCTCAGGTAGAGTTTAATTAAAAAAAATCTAAGAAATTCCATTTTGATTTTAGAGGAACATTTTGAAACGTTTACACACTGTGCCTTGGACAAATATGTAAATTAATATAAAGTGCAGAAACTTAAAGGGAAGTGTATTTGTAGGCATTATAGGTAAATAGTGACGTCATACGCCCCACAGCGGGACACCTAAGTCTTTGTAACTTTATGTAACATTAGTACTCATTATTTTATCATCAAAAGCTTGTTGTTGCAAAAGCAAAACATAGGACATTTTTTTATTCAGGTTCATTTTAAAAATAGTGTTTCTCTTTGTATCTTGGTTAATTGTCATGGATGCTGTCGTAGTATACGATGTACATGTTGTATAGATATACATGTAGATGTACTTGATTCAGTCTGTGGTATATTAATTAATTAATTCACATTAATGTCACTTAGTGTTCTCTGAATGTGTTCACTTCAGCAATACATCCACCGATTTCTTTTGTATGCCTGTGTTAACCTTGGTGAGTGTTTTGCAACTAGCAATACCAAAGATGTTTTGTAAGCAATACATTTAAATTATTTTCTATAATGAATAGTATTTTCTTCACTGTCATCTTGCAATATAAATAAAGAGTTAAATGATTGTTTCACAGTGCACAAGAGACTGTATTATGGTTTGGAAGATGTCTTTTAACTTACACAATCCAGGAGAGGAGGAGTCTTTGAATATCCCACGGACACCCAAGTACCGTTGTTTGATCTCAGTATTGCTCAGAAGGAAAATCATTTTTGAAGTACACAAGTTGCTATTTAGAAAACTGGTGTATGAAGTTATTGATACAACTGATACATGGGTTCAATCCACACCTGTAGTTTGATTCATTTGTTCCGGACCAAGGGGAAAAATGATTCATTGTTGCATTTTAGTTCTGGTTCAGTTCCTGTTCACACTGACTGACTGACTATTACAAACAGGCCGACAAACAGAGAGAAGTAAACAGGAAGCTATACAAACACTTGTAAATGAACTGACACACAGTTGGAAACAAGCACAGTAGGTTTAACAGCTTTTGATCTATTTATCAGGGAAAATAGACTAAGCATATATTATGCAACCACAGTTCACTGGCTCTTTCCATGCAACCACCAAACCAACATGATACTAAAAAACGTTTGTGTTGATTGTACAATTGTTTGTTTATCGTGTTTGTTATTAACTCTCCAGCTTGGTAAAACCACCAATGTGCCGTCACTGAAACTTTGCCACAGGTCAAACGGGGACAAATGGACAGTCCACAAAGCTGGTGTTGCATCGGTGGGTACCATGACACCTCCAGAATCTGAGCGTTGGAAAAGAGCTTGTCCTGCAGGATGGGATGTCCACAGACCACAGTCTGACCTTCCCCCCGGGCCATATCTAGCAACCACTGAGGCACTGGAGGTGAAAAATCTGCAATGTTGCATTGTACACAGTGTTGGGGAGTAGTGAACTACATGCAATTATATCAGATTAACTGCAGTAGCTTTCAGTTCAACTACATGCATTAGTGATTCAAGTGGTTGATTACTTTTGTGGCATGTGTTGTGTAGTTAACAACAGAAACTCCAGCTGCTTGTTTGGTTTATGTATGCCCTGTAAACAAATGGGGACTTGTGTTTGCTTGGATGTGACCTTTTTTTGTATCATATTTTGTTATAGTTTTGTATCACATGAACATTGTTCATCTGTTTTCCCAAAGTAGTTTGAACTCCTTTTTCTAAGTAGCTTTTGTTAACCTAGCTACATTTCACCCGAGGTCAACTTTCCGTACAGTGTGAAGAAATTAGCTTGCAAAATAAAACTGTTTTAAAACCACAGTTGTAATGACCAAAACAAGTTATGTTCAATGTTTGCAGTCCCTCGCTAACATGATCTTCCAGTGCTGGGTACATGAGCCTGCATGCGCGCGCAGCTGGGCTTAGTCTTGACCCTCAACAGGTGATGTCTTCATGAAACTGGGGGTTTTTGGTTTTTGGTTTTTGGTCGCTCCTTGTTCGGAAAAATGACAGTTTTCGTTGTGCGGGAGGGTTAAGTTAGAGTCATAGTTAGAGCATTAACAGTATACGATATATTAGATAGCTACAGTATGTCCTGCCTCAACAGCTTCTCAACTAATGTAACGTTAGTTAAGTTACAGGTAACATCAACCTCGGTAGCTACCTGAACGACTAGACGTCAAAGTTAGGACAGAGTGATGTAACATTGAGCTACCTGAGTTTATCAGACACCCACATTTTCTCATTTGTCTTTATATTACCTGCTAACTGTTATTTAGCTAATGCCTGTTAGTTGTGGACCAATAATAGCTAACATACACTAATATTGTGTCAGTGTTTCTAGCTGTGTATTACCATCATTGTCACTGTCATGGATGGATTAGCTCACTCATTGCTAGTTCAGATAAATAACCTTGGACTAAAGCTGATACTAAAAGAAAGGCACTTCCAGTCAAACTAGAATGATGTAATGGACATGCGACCTAGCGAGCAGTGTTGTTTTTTTCTGAAGTTTAGTTCGCTAGCTTCAAGTTGTAAACATTTGGTCCTCGTACTGTAAATGCTATGCAATATGTAACCGTAACATAATATTTGGGTCTTAATGGGAATGAAAAAATATAGATTTTTCTTCAAGTAAATGTAGTAGCATCTATTTTGTGCTTTAGTGGTGTGGTGTGTTTTAGCTGTACCTAGCATGTAGAGCTGTAATGAAGTTATTTTCATGGTTGATTAATGTGCCTTAATCTGAAAATAGTGAAAAACTAAAGCCCAATGATATGCAATTTACAATTCCTAACACTGGAGAAACTGGGTCTGATCATTTGTGGAGGTTTTTGCTTGAAAGATAACTGAAATTATAAATGATTAACATTTTTGCTGATTCATTTTAAGGCTAACCATTCAGTCCACTGAATCACAAATTGTTTGAGTTGTACTGTATGTTCAATGCAGCTGACTCTAAAAGAGATTTTTATCGAATACCATTGGCTCTGTGATATTATGTGGTTTCAGTGTGCCATGTTTGTCCATATTCTAGGCACCACCACTAACAGCAGCCACAGTGCCTCTTTTATGTAGTGATGGGTAAGTGTTGTGGTTTTGGTTCTTCGCCCGCTGCCCTCAATCACTTGCCCTGACTCATGTGGTGAGTATACTGTCTGCAAGCATGCCAGGCTGTGTCACTGTCCTTCCTGTCTCTGACCTATAGGCATTAAACTTGACTGATACGAATATTTTCCCAATGCTGTGCTACATGACCCTTGAACTAATGGATTTAATAGTTCATTAGAGTGACCACAAAATCGGTAATGCATATTAGGGTCTGGTTAAAAAAATAAATACACATAGAGTGTAAGAGGAAGAGTAGTCAATTTTAACCCTTAAACAAGTAGAAGTAAAGCGGTTGACGTAGAAAGTTACTGCTCTCACCCAAATGAACAAAGAAGCCAAGAAAGGAGAGGAGTCAAACCAAAACTAAATCAGACTAAGACAAATAGATGGATACAAGAAAGGGAGAATACAATAGAAATGGGTAAATAAATGAATGATATACACCGATCAGTGAAGTGAATAACACTGATTATCTGGTTATCATGGCTCCTGTCAGTGGGTGGGATATATCAGGCAGTAAGTGAACATTTTGTCCTCAAAGTTGATGTGTTAGAAACAGTAAAAATGGGCAGTGTGAGGATCAGAGCGACTTTGACAAGGGCCACATTGCGATGGCTAGACAACTGGGTCAGAGCATCTCCAGAACTGCAGCTCTTGTGGGGTGTTCCCGGTCTGCAGAGGTCAGTACCTATCTAAAGGGGTCCAAGGAAGGAAAAGTGGTGAACGGTCTGGGGCCTGACCAGAGCCTGGAGCCTTTTTTTTCTCTCTCTCTCTCTGTCTCCCCCTGTACTATGAATGCTAACTAGTGAGGAGTAAATCTTGGCTTTGGACAAATGAACTTTATCTGTTTGATGTTTTCAGCTTCCTGACTGTGACCTTTGTCCTCGCACATTCAGTTCATGTATATTTGTTATCCATTCAGCCCATCTGCCTGTCAGTGAGCTCCACAGTGACCACCATGGCTCTGAACATCCCAGGTGTGGTTGCCGTGGTGCTGTTCTATATCTTGATTCTGGGGACAGGGGTGTGGGCCGCCCGAAAGTCCAGGAAGGCTGAGAGGAAGAGCCATGGAGACAGGACTGAAGTGGTCCTCCTCGGAGACAGGAATATCAGTTTACTGGTTGGGATTTTCACCATGACTGGTATGTTGTTCAATGGGAAACTTAAGTTTTTGACATGTTTTGTTTTTGACAGATTACAGGTGTGCAAAGATAGTAGTTATTTTTTAAATCCTGTTATCTCAATGTCAAGTTAATTATCTCATATTTTGGGACAACAAAGTTGTCTGGATATTGTGATAATTATATCAGCTTGCATAGATTTGTGGTCTTGGAGCAGCTGATTTGAGCTGATGTCAATCATGGAGAAGTTTATTGTTTAATTAGTGCATCGGAGTGCAGACTAACAGTCAGAAATTTCATTGTGTATTTTTATTGGAGATAACAGTTAATTCAGTCTTGAGCATTGAAGGGATTCAGTAATCCTGTGGATATTGTTGTATTTTCTGAGATTAGCTGGATTACATTACTCAAGACAAAGGGCACTAGTTTCATGATTCAAGGCACAGATGCAACGTGTCCACTGAATACTGCCGTTTTCATTGTGGTTGGCTGTGAGGTGTGAATCAGCATAGGGTTGATGGCTACAGTAGCATGAATTTCATGGACAAACTGTCCTCTCAAAACATAATTTCCATTTGAACATGTTACATCTTTATTTCATTGCTAGACCAATAAAATATAATAGCATAATATCCACTGTGCCAGATTTGCTGTGGTTAACTTGTTCCAAGCTTGCGCAACCAGTACCAGCCTGCTGAGCACATTTTTCAAGGCCATGTTTTGTTATGTCAACACTTTCATTTCAACCTGTCTGACAGAAATACTGCAGCAGATGAAGCAATAGTGTAATAGTGTATTAGATGCAGATGTGATTACTGTGTGGATCATATATTTTCCACATTCTATCTCCTACTAGTATTCACAGAAAACAGACAGGAGACATCATCTGCAATATATTCTGCGAAAAATACAGTACACTCAAATAAAGTGTGTGTGTGATTCTTCTGCAGCTACGTGGGTCGGAGGAGGTTTTATCCTGGGTGTGGCTGAGGCGGTGTACACTCCTAAAATGGGCTTAATATGGGCTCTTATGCCTATACAATACTCAGTGTCCTTCATAATAGGTAAGACAAGTCACACGTCATGGAGGCAGTAGTTCTATTTTATTTTATTCTTATAATTACAATTATTAATAATTTTCTTCAAGTTTCTCTATTTTATTCTAGATTTCCCTCTTGGGACCAATAAAGGATTATCTTACCTTGTTTGGTACAGTGTCCACAGCATCAGATGATGAAAGGACACTGAAAACTATGCAACACAACGTATTTTTCAGTAACTGATTAAAATTGTAAATATAATATAATGGTTAATATCTCATCTGCATAAGGTGGTCTTTTCTTTGCCAAGCCAATGAGGGACAAGAAGTATGTCACCATGATGGACCCATTCCAGATAAAGTATGGCAACATACTGAGTGGTGCTCTAGTGCTGCCCTCCCTGCTGGTGGACGTGCTGTGGGTGTCCTGCACTCTGCTTGGCTTAGGTAAACATACACACCTACCAAGTAAAAACACACAGTCTTTAGTGGACGCAAGTAAAGCATTTAAATCTCTGTATTTGTGGGTTTTTTCCGACAGGAGCAACTATGAGTGTGATACTTGACTTGCCCTATGCCTATTCTGCTTGGATCTCATCAGCTGTGGCCATTATCTACACTCTGTTAGGAGGCCTTTACTCAGTGGCCTATACTGACGTCATCCAGCTCTCTCTAGCTTTCCTCAGTTTGGTGAGATACAGTGCCTCGTACAGTAGTACACACATTTTAAAGATGTACAGTATCAGCAGATATCAACATCTAGTATAAAACCAAAATCTTTAAACAATCCAGTTAATTGTGAACAGCAGTTGGCAGTATGGTAGATACACACACAGATAAACACACACACACACATCTTCAAAAAACTTCAGTCCTGCTATGAAAGTTCCTTAATGCAGACGTCACACCTTCAATGTTAGGTGTGGTGTGTAAACACAATGGATTGAATGTAATATATTCATATATATAAGATAATAGATTTGTTGTGCTAAAGTCTTCAGTTTCCCAATGTCAATATTTATTTGCAGTGGTTGTGTATTCCCTTCCTGCTGCTCAACCCCATATCTACAAACATTGCCCACACTGCTTTCAACCACACGATCCAAGAACCCTGGCTCGGCACTCTGGAGCAGGAGAACGTCTGGAAGTGGATTGATGACTTCTTAATGCTTGTGAGTTAAATATTTATCAGTATCATACTTTCCCAGTTCCATCCATAAGGTCAGAGCACAGCTACATGTCAGGGAGACAGACAAACCACCATCAATGCCTTTACACGTATGCACTTAAGTGACCTCTAATTCCTAATTCTTCAATACTATGTAAATGGGACTAAATGAGTTTATTTAATTTAGGAAGGTGGTTAGAGAAACCTGATCTCCTCAGGTAGATTTTTTCTAATGAAAGACAATTTCTTGGCAAAATAGATGTGAAATCATGTTTCCAATCAACTTTTCATGTGCATGACAAAGACAAAAAATAGAAAGTCTCTCTTTCATGACACTGTTGCAGAATGAAATAATGAACATTATTACATATAGGAATGTATACCTGAATTCAGAGTCATTTAATTCTGAGTCAGAATTTAGGATTAATGTCAATCAGGAGAGACTTAATTGAAACAGAGACTTAAACAATGATCAAATGTATTTATTTGGCACGCTCATGATGAGTCTTTGACGGTTAGACCCTAGCGTGATGTTACAGTCTGACACGGTAATGATGCCATTGATTATACAGAATAACCCCCGGCCCCCCAAAAGAAAATATTGTTCCTTTCCTAACCAGGCGGCAGCTAATTCTAGATAAATATGCAATATGAAAATTTGTCACAGAAAATATTTGATGTAATTATAAATAATGACTAGAGTGCTTTGAATGAGGTCAGCCATGACCATAATATCAGATAAAATAAAAGGGGACAATAAGCAGCAATCATTACCATAAAAAACCACCCCCTCCATTTATATGCAGGACATACCTGGGTATTTGGGCTTCAGTAGACACAGTACACAGCAGGTCATAATTATATGTTGATTAAAAAAGATCACTTTGAAATCAATAAATATACATAAGACAAAAAACAAATGTGGGCTAGGGGCATAAGGTGGGGAGGGCAATGGCCCATTTCTCCCTTCTTCATACCCCCCTACTACCGGGGACCTTTCTCAGACCACACCAATTTTTGAACTCGTTCCTCAATTTGACTGCATCTTGCACGGTTGTGATGCTATCACACTGACAAAATCTGTCCACAGACCTATAAATGAGAGGTCGACCGATAGTGGATTCTTAAAGGTTGATATATTTACCATACTTGGCAGCCTTGCTGTAAAATCAGATATTCCCCCAGGTTTAGCTCACATTTTCTAACCCTATAGCCCTAAAGTACTTCCCTTTACAGTAGGTGTCTCCAGGACCCCATTTTGCCATGATGACACACAAACACACACACACACACACACACACACACACACACACACACACACACATACACAAGGGGAAAATAATAACTAAATTAGGGTACCTATAAGGCCTGAAATGACCAGATACATTTCTGGCAATGATCTGAAAGAATTAATACAACCAGGATAACGTGCATGGAATGCCAGGGTCAGCTATGAGAGGAATTTTAGTTGAAACAGATACAGGAAATGTAGAGCAAACATTATAATGTTGTACAAGATGTTACCAAGGCGAATGGGAGAGGGTAGAAAATAGAGGGGAGCAGTGTACCCTGTATTCCCACACGTAGTGCAGGAAATGGTTTGAGAACCTGTGTTTCATTGGAAATATTGAGAAACGCTTGCTGGAGAATCACTGTTTGAGGTATAATGGATGTTAAGCAACATTATATGAGATGTATAAATATGGACATCTGTACACGTGTTGATTTGTTATTATTACATTATTTATGATCAACTTTTCGAACACAGCCAAACATCAAGAAGTGACACAACACAAGACATAGCAAGCCAGCTAATATTTGTGACTAGGCCAACAGCAAGAAGTCCAGCGTGCAGTCTGTCTGCAGCCTTTTATTTCACAAAGCTCTCTTGGCTCCACTTCTTGCGTGGCGCCGGCACCGCTCTCAGTCCGTTGAGGCGGAGTAGCCAGAGGACACCAGAGGGAGAGCCAGAAAATATTTTCTCCATAAAATATGATCCAGCTTCACCGAAATCAGTGAGATAGTTGGTGGTGTTTGACGTAGTGTCATTACGCACTCACTCACTCACTCAGTACACACAAAGTTACATAGTACAGGAACAGGCGTGGGAGTGGGAATGACATTCACCATATTACAACTCAGTGTAGCATCAAAATTACTTTGAGGCTCTTAGTTTGAGGTAGAAAAGTTACATAATGTAGCTTTAAGGTAGAAAAGTTACATAATGTAGCTTTAAGGTAGAAAAGTTACGTAACATTGCTCTAAACACTGGTTGAACTCGGAGGCAGGATGCGACAGGCAGACCTGGTGGTGATGAGGGGCGCCGATGATGAGGTAGAGGCTGAAGCATCACTGGGGTGCGAAGGTGTACATGGATAGCTTGCTGGAATGAGCCAGAGACAAGTTGGTGGAGATCAGGGTGTTGTCTGCAGCCGAGTGTTCTGGGTTAGCAGATGACACTGGGTGAGCAGGGAAACGAGTAAGAGACACCAGAGGTTTGAACTAAAAAACGATACCTCAATACCTCTTTTAATACTGCAGCAAGAATAAAAAAAGTCGAATTAAATATTTACTATGCTCCTAAAACATCTTTCCCATTTTTAACCATCATGAAATAGCAGCATGTGGTCCGTAACAGACATGGACAGGACTAGACAAAAGAGAATACCAGTACCTACCTGTAGCTGACATTATAACAGCCCATTTTATGAGCTTTTACAGGCCCTGCTCTCCTCATAGCCTTAATATTTTCCCTCTTATATGGTGGTGTTAACAAGATTATGTCTTTCAGATCAGCAAAAAAACTTTTTGACAAATTCAAATTTCAGCTGACTGAAAAATAATGAATGAGTGACTGAAAGTGAGTCAGTGAGTCCTGCTCTGCCTCTGAATGTCTTATACTGGCAGGAATGCAAGACATACATAGTATATGGAGGTAAAGGTCAGCAGAGAGAGTCTGAATTGTCAGTGTGTACTGTGCTGGAACAGTAACCTTACTAGAGTGTTTCCTTGGCTTTTGCCCTTCATCCAAGTGTAGTGAGAATAAAGGAAATACAAAGGGCAAATATTTATGTTTGTCTAAACAGTATTCCTGAACTCAGTCACTGACAGTTTCCTTCAGTCTTGTCCTCAACATGCATCTTCCTCTTCTCCCTGTGCTCTTTTTTCTAGGGGCTTGGCAGTGTTTCATTTCAGAGCTTCCACCAGAGGACGCTGTCTGCCTCCTCACCACTAACAGCCCAGTTGACCTGCTATGCTGCTGCCCTTGTCATTGCCATACTGGGAATCCCTCCAGTCTTGGTTGGGGCTGTCGCTGCCTCCACAGGTAGGAATTATGTTAAAGGTGACAGACCTTTAACACACTTGTGACCTGGAGATACTTGATACCAAAATACTGATTGTCAGTTATTTTGTAATATGACACAGAAAACAGCGCTTCATCGATTGCTACCTTCCTAAGTCTCCTACATATGTCCTCTGTACTTTAGGGTTAAGAGCTAATGTGACAGCAATGTGAAGTGTAGCTTACGTTTAGCACAGGGTTCCCACGTCCTTTAGAGAACCTGGAATACTAGTTTTCCAGTCATGGAAACACCTGGAAATTGAAATGACTAAATATCCTAGAAATAATCTATATTGTCCTGGAAATGTTTTATTTAAATCAGCCCCTTACTCAGATTGCCTGCATAAACCTGTGGGCATATTTAGTTTGTAGGATGAGCTGTGTGCTGTGACAGAGTGGAATGTCAAAATGTTACGGTTAGAGGAAAAGTTCACCAGAGACCGCAGCTCCAATCCACTGAGAATGCAGCAGAAAAATACGAGCTAGTGCGTCATATAAAGTGTCATATCCCATAGAGGTTGACCAGCTACCTGTAGTGAACTTGAAACAATTCATCATGAACCATGCATCATTAAAAAAGGAGGAATAAAACTGGGGTTAAATGTGTCAGTACTAGGCCTACCAGCAAGTGCTTTCCCGTATTGTCAAGAAAACTCCTGGGAAATGATTTCTTAAAAAGAGTAACACGGAGCGGTAACACATTTTCATTACAAACAGCAAATATTTTGATGAGGTTGCCTTCTGTGACGTATTTTTTTATTTATTTATTTATTTTTACATATGAGTGTCAGTAAAATTATGTTAAAACTGAAAAAGTAAATGGTATAATTTAAGTATGATTTAAAGCCGCACTAGTCAGTATTTCTATGTGAATTGATCAAATGTTATGTGTGACAAACCCACAAAGAATATCTCTCTGCTGTAGTTTTTGTTATGGCTCACTCTCACTGCTCTCATCACCCCAGTTTCAGCAGGCAGCTGTTCTCAGTGAAAAAGCTCTGATAAAACCCACTATGATCTACCTGCCCAGACATAGATAGTGACTGGTGCACATTTAGCATTTAGTAGCTAAAGATATTGGTATTTCCCTCAGGAATTTCGACTAGGTAGCCACAGACATGACCCCAAGCGAAGGCTAATGTTGCTCCATGTCTGCTGGATGTGTAAATACACAACTATTTACCATAACAACTTTATAAGGTCACTGTCGTGTGTATACAGCTTTTTCCACTGCCACTGAAAAACATAATTCCCTTAGTCGCTCAAGTGCGAGTTGGTACAGAATTACCTTATCCCTGGTTCCTATATGAATGCTGTATGGATCTAATATTGTGGTGAGGAAATTGAGAAGTATTTAATTGTTATTTCTCTTGTCCAGACTGGAACCTAACGCTGTATGGCTCTCCATCTCCATATGAACGTGGGGAGTATAGTTTGGTCCTGCCCCTGACCCTACAAAACCTCACTCCGTCTTACATCTCAATCATTGGAATTGGAGCTGTGGCCGCTGCCGTCATGTCATCCACAGACTCTGGCCTGTTGTCTGCAACTTCTGTGTTCTCTTCAAACATCTACAAGAACATCCTGCGTAAACGGGTAAGCAGTGCCAAATGTTGAGGGTGGCAGCTCAGTAACACAGCCTGTCTCTAGAGATGACGGTTAGGTTGCCCTGTCATTTTCCAAATTAAACAAGCACAAACAGAATCAATACCAGAATATGAATCTCCTTTTGTATGACTCCATGTTCCTAGGCATCAGACTATGAAATGCAATGGGTGATTCGTCTCACAGTGGTGGTGGTGGGTCTGGTTGGGACCTCCATTACGTTCTACACCAACAGCACTCTGGTCCTCTGGATTCTTGGAGCAGACATCTCCTATACCCTTATGTTCCCCCATCTGGTGTCTGTGCTCTTCTTCAAAGTGACAAATGGTTACGGTGCCATGGTGGGTTACATCATAGGGCTGACCATGAGGATTTTGTTGGGAGAGAACGCTCTAGGTCTTCCTGTTGTTCTTCATCTTCCTGGTTGCAAATTGGAAGATGGCGTCTACGTCCAAAAGTCCCCTGTCAGGACAGTGTCCATGCTCTGCACTTTGTCAACCATCTTAGTATTTTCCTCACTGGCTTTTTTCATGTTCAACCACGGCCTGTTGCCGGAGAGATGGGACATTTTCAAAGTAAAATGCAATGTTATTGCACCACCAGCGGATGCCATCACACAGAATCTCCAAAACAAAGCTGGAAGTGATGACGAGTGTGACGACAACAGAAATGGTGTTGCCTTACAGCCAATGTTACAGACTGGATCCTAAATGTTTGTCTTTCCTTTTGTAAAGTTGCTGGCCTGAATTTATTATGACCTTAATAACTTTGTATATTTAGAGAAATTGCAAATGTGATTTCATTTTAAGCTGCTAACTGCTCATAGTTGCTGATGAAGTATTTTACACTTTTCCTTTTATTACTGTATGTATGTTGGTGAAAATGTCGGTTTTTGGAACCACGTTACACAAACATCATCTAAAAAACAGTACATTATTCAAACTATAAAAGCTATTATACTTTCAAAAGTTGATAATGGTTAAATGGATGAATAATATAGTATTATAACATGATAATAATCAGATTAGATACTGCTAGTCGTAGCTCAAAAAAAGAGATGTGTGGGTAGCTTTTTTTCAAATGTAAATTCCCATTGCTTTGAGCTGCACAAACAAAATTATATTCACTGCATGTATTGGGGTCACAGTAGAAGTTTCAGGGGTTTTCATGGGGTTAAGTACTGTATCACTTGATGTAAGTGAGAAATGTTTTTTGTGATTTGGATGAAGTGACCTTCGTTGTTTGTTTTACTCGCCAATCAAATCTGTGCTTCTTTTACACTGTTCTCATCTTAATGGCATGACCGACACCTGGGTGCTATGTCATCCTGCTTTCCCTTAAACTTGTGGCACGCTATAAATAAAGTACAATAATTTAGTGTGCACGGTATGCTTGAAAGTAACTAGTTCAGGTTTCAGACACTATTAGCTTTTGTTGTTATAGTTTAGTTTTAGGGGCGGGGGGGGTGTTATGTGTTGTCTTCTATATTTTCATATTTTGGTACCTAAAGTTTTCATCAATCAATGCTGCTCTGCTTTAAAACATATATTAATGTGAATTTATTCCAAATAATAAAAGCTGCCTACTGACTATTATTATTACTATACTGTAATAATAATAGAGATATTTACCCCCTATGTACAATACAGACACTGATCCTCTTCTTGGAGTTATGTAATCATTTTGTTTTCCCAACAAATCATGCCAGTGAGCTATATTTGCTCTTACATTAGTGTAACATAAGCCTTAAAGGGCAGATAATCTTCAGCAGCTGGCCTTGTGCTACCGTTGGCGCGATGATTTAACAGGGCTGATTCATTCTGCAAAACGACCTAATATGTAGATTATGGTTATGAACCAGTAGTACTAATCACTGCAGGAATACCCCATTGGCTTAGCTGAAGAACTAGAATATGTTATATTAGCTGCAAAGAGAAAGTAACTTATTTAGTGGCATGTTGCGAGTTGACCTTTTGTCAGCATGAGATTGTCACCATATGCTTCTGTCACTGATGGGTGGGTTTGTATGGGGCCTAAAAAGGCCGCTGAGTTAAGATATGGGTCAATCTATTTTAGAACAGGTAGACTTGGGCCTGCATCATAAATTTAGACTAGAATCCCTGACACACATGTTTCTTTGTGATGAGATTGGTGTCGTGAAGATCCCAACACCAACGATGTTACCCAAAGCTGTGGCCTTGGGTTCAGAAACAGAAATAGTTCTCAAATGTTTGGCAAGTAACCCCATGATGGGGGCATACTGTATTTAAAGACACAAAGAGCAGCTGTTACACATTTGAGAAAAAGGTTAAAACGTGATCTAATGCTGTTCAATATAACAGCCCTGCTTGCCCCTCCTCAACCTTAGACCCAGTTAGTGTTATGTCATAGCTAAGCAAATCACATTTTTAATGCCTTACAAAACAAAATGTAACAAAACAAAGCTGTTATTGCACAGAGTGTACCTTCAACAAGAATAAAAATACACATCATAAAATGACAAACTACTATATGTTGCGGCTATGGCTCAGGAAGTAGAGCGGCTAGTCCACTAATCACAGGGTTGGCTGCTCGATATGTGTCGAAGTGTACTCGAGCTCCAGAAGGTCAGGCCAGGACCTTGCATGGCTGCCATCAGTGTGTGTGTGTGTGTGTGTGTGTGTGTGTGTGTGTGTGTGAATGATTATTTTCAATTCATCCTGAACCTATTTCATTGAACCTATTTATGCCTAGTGTTAACTTACTAAAATGATAAATAACTGAAACTCTGAACTTTAAACTAAAAGATCCAGTTGAAATCTGTAGGTTGAGAAGACAGAAACGGTTTTGAGTGGCAGCCTATCCACTGTTCACAATCTGCAGCTGCAATATGAAAATAAGATAAAGAATGAAAGTGTGTGCCAAAAAATGCCCTGTATACATAGTCAAATAAATACATAGTAGCAGAAGACATCAAATGTTGATTAAATATATATTTACACTTTTAACAGTAGCTAGTATGATTGTGCAGAACCAGGTCTCCAGGGGAAATCCTAGTGAGAACTCAGAGGTCGTTCGCACCGCTGCACAGCACATTCACAACAGTCTAACTTTCACTCACATATGCGAGCGAAATGTGCGCACTGTTGAGCCCAACATTGCCATCCCTTGAGCCATGGCTTAAATCAAGATGATCCTACTTTTTTCTTACAGTTTTCTCTACCTCGAAGTTAAATGTTAGCGTTCTTTATCTCTATAACTTACGATTTGTCTCTGCCTCCTCACACTGCTGACAGCGAAGTCACATTAAAGTACGAAAGCTAGTTTTGCTCTCCTGTAAGAAATCACAGTTCAACTACAAACCAAAGAGCATCTGTTTACCTACATTTGTTTTGTCACGTTTATATTCTCTGTTAATATGCTGTAGTTTTCAGTTCATGGACATAATTATGACAGCTATTTAATCAGGTCTTAAAAAATATGGACCACCAATCAGCCAAAACTGATCTGAACTGATCCTCAGCCTGACTCAGTATCAATCATCTCTCCACCCCTCTCTTTGCTCCAGTCAGTGTGTCTTTATTCTCGGCCCGGGCCCTGGCTCTGTAACAAACTATGTGTTGCCAACATTCTGCATGTCTTCCAGTGCCTGTGTGTGTTTGCCTGATCTAACCTGCCTGTCTGTTGACAGCTGCTGAAAGGCCTTGTCCTTGTAAACTGCATTTTAACTCTATCTGCTGTGCACCGGTGTTGGAGTCCAACTTCTTATATGAGCCACCTGGTTCGTGAAAAGTTTAATGAGTTGAAGTAATATATATCCCATTTTGAACTTAGGCCCATCCTTTGATTTGAATAATTGAATAGGTGCTAAGTGTCCCATTACAGCTTCAGTCTACTATGAGCTGGTTCTCTTCTAGAAACAACTCTTATTATTAAGATGAACTTGATTGATTATGTGATTCAAGTTATTAATTTAAGTGTAAACTTGACATACTACAACAAAACTGAATTAAAGGGATTATATTTACCAGTCTGTTATCAGAACTACTATGAGTTGCAGAAAGAGGTCGTTATTTACTCATTTAGCCAAAGTGCACACTTCCTTTTCACTTATTTAGAAGAGAGCTCAAGAGCAGATTAGACTAAATGCTAGTCTGATTTGCTGATAAGCTGTTTCCATTGAGGTGTTCTGATACATTACTGTGGGAAAAATATGTAATTACAAAACAGTTGTCATGGAGGTTTGGATATACTACATTTGGTTGAGTATGGTTTCTTGACTGTCATTGTTGACTATTTAGCATCATTGCTCCTGCTTGTGTCTGAAGGTAAACACATTGCTTACGCCCCCTTTAATGTCACCGAGGAAATCTCCTAAATTTGTGATGTGTCTGAACTAATGTGGCAGATTTAGGAGGTTCTCCATGAGTTGTAGAGGTAACAATAACATATATATTTATTCTGAGGTTTCACATTCTATTTATCCATAAACATCTGCTCTCTTAGGTATTACTACGTTTCAGAATCATATGATGAGTGTCATTTGTAGTTTTGGTTTTATGTAGCTGTTATGTAAGTGTTACAAAGTGTCACTTTTTTGCAGTTTGGTCATTGATAATGTGCAAGTCTTTAATCCTCTTTATTCAGGTAAAAATGCAAGTTCCTATGGGATATCTTTATGCATGTTCTTTTCTGAACAAAAGTACAGAGAAAATACACTGCACACACACTTGCACATTAGAGACGTCATGGAAAAATACTCCACTGTGAGTGTTCTCTCTTTTGTGGTATGGCAGAGTGAGCCAGCTGGTTCTTTGTGTTCACTACTGACAGATATACTGCTGTTGTCATTATAAAGTTATGTTAGCCAGTGGTGTCACATGCTCGAATCTATATATGGTCAAAATATTTAATTGTTACCTTTATTGCTATGCCATACACACTGCTTTGCTTCTTTGTGTACTTGGCTTGCAGTCTCTAGTGAGTATTAAGATGGCAATCATCATGAACTGAGAAGTGAAACATTTCAATTAATCTTATTCATTAACACATTCATTGTCTGGAGGATAGCAGGTATTTATCATTCATCAAAGTCTTGATTTTTACATCTTGTTGTCTCAAGGAATGTGTTTGTGCTTTTGCTTGGTGCAGTGCCAGTGTGGACACAAAATGTGTCTCAGCTCAAGAATGCATGTTCTTTTGGATAATGACTTAGGATAACATGTAGTACTGCTCTGTCTTATCTGGTCACCCTCTAGTTCCTGTCTACACAAGTAAAAGTCCCACCCTGTATGTGCTTGCAGAGACAGGCATGTTTTAAGGGTCCAGTTTGTTACATGTAGGATGATCTAATTGCAGAGCTAGTAAGTTATTGATCAGAACTCAGATAAATAAAAGATATTAAATGGGGATCAGGGGCAAAAAAAACTTGATTGGGACATTTTTACAGAGAATCGTGGAGTATCACCGGTATTGGTATCAACTATTACATTTCTGGTATCATGTCATCTCTACAGTAGCCTAGAATGGACAAACCAAACAATGGCTCTAGACAAGTTCTTTGAGATCTGTCAAGAGGGACATTGTTCATGTAAACTGGTGTCAAATCAAGTTATCTCCTTTTGTTTTCTCAACCTTTAGGGAGAGGTTGTTATCTTGACACCATGTGAATAGGTCCCTCAACTCCTTCTTATGAGCGTTCTCATTCTCATCATTCATCAGTCAAACGCTGTGGTGTCATCTGTGAATTTCTACAATGCTGTTATTATATTTTGCAACATAGTCATGTGTGAAGAAACTCTAGGGTGAGGGACTAAAGCAACAACCTTGTGGTGCCAGTGTGTTGAGAACTATGGTAGATGAGTAGCTGTCTGATGTCTGATGTCTGATGTCTGCCATTCAAAAAGTCATATTACAACTTACAGACGGAAAACACCAAGGTCCCCAAGCTTTAACCCCAATTTAGATGGTACATTGGCATTAAATGCAGAGCTGTAGTCAATAATAACATTCTGGAATAGGGTTTTTTTTCCTTTAAGGTGTTTTAACACAAGTTGCAGAGCCACAGATCTTTTTGTCTGATAATCAAACTGTAACAGATCAAGGTTGGCCACAGTGTCTGACCTTTAGAGACTTTAGGCTCAGTGAGAACCTGTTACTGTTGCAGCCCTGTAAAGCCCTTTGGAAAAATTGGACATTGCTTTATACACATAAACTTAACTAAATGAAGTGCTAGGTCCCAGTCTTCAAACGTCCCGCCACTTTTTGTCCGGTGCTCCAATAACAGTGGACCAAGTCTTGGCCAGGACCATTGACAGTATATGGCCAGCACCTCTGTCAATATTTTCTTGTTTCCTGTACTTAGATATGCTATGTGCTCGGCTCGTCTACGGTGTAAAGAAATTGAATTTGAATTCAATTTTGAAAATGTTTAAAAGATAAAAGCGACATGTATATATGGTCACATCTTAAGTTAGCTAATGTTAACAAAACACAAGCTAACTAGCTAAATAATGCTTAATGTAAATGACCTATCTAATTAGGTAGCGTTTTATTAACATTAGCTATCAGATGTAACTAGCTAGCTTACGACTGACGTAGATTAGAATACATTGAGTAATGTGCTGGACAGTTATTTGTAAAATCTGCCTGAGCTCATTTCTGGTGTGAAAGCACCTTTCTATACAAGATACCTGTCTTTCTAGTTAGGTTACTGTTCATGGTAGGTGTGTTTGCCAATCTTTGCATAACTTTGCTGTTGGGAAGGCTGGCCTAATGCACATGGACCTTTGCATGTGTCATTTACAAGATGTTGTCAAGGGTGTGGTTAAGTGTGTGTGTAAATAAGAGTTAACATTCAAATTAGTCAATATTTGCCAACCAGACTGCCTCATATCAGACAGTAATTGTGATTAAGCACTGGTTCCTCTGCTCTATGTGGTCCATTAAAACAGATGAACTACCTCAACAGTGTGAGGCTCTTAGCTGTAAACTCTGCTCCCAGCTTGGAGAGTGAGGTGTTTACCTGGCTGTTGGCCTCGACTCCTCATCATGTCTGCCAAGTGAGAGCAAGTGTTTATACCTAACAAATATCTGCAAACACAATAAGCATTGCAACATGTTATGTGGGCTACAGCATGTGATGTTGCAATACACAACATAGTACTTTCATAGTCGGGGAGCAGCAGCAAAAACGTTGAACGTTGAAGTTCACTTACTGGCACCTCAACAGCATTCCCACATCAAAGGACAAAGGATAGACAATAAACCATACATCTGTGAGAGAAAAATTATTATTTAATTTTATTGTGTAATGTCCAAGCCATCAGTGTCCAATGGGAAAGAGATACCAGCAATATACAACCAATAAATTCCCAATAAACCTATCTACACATAATCACCAGCAGAGATGTCCTGAACCAGGTTGAGACAGATTCCTTAGGTGTTATGTACAGTTTGGACTTGCTGCTGTGTTCTGCGTCCAAACATTCAATCTCTAACCTGGTTTGCTGCTGACCTTTTCAAACATCCAAGGCTACTGCAGCCGATCAAGAAGCTGGAACACAGACAAAGCATCTCTGAGATAAGATAATACTATATAATTCAAGAATATGGCTTTTTGCCTGCATTAATCTAACTGTTCTGCGTATAAATTATACATATGGATGATGACATGTCAGCATTGAGCTCTTGGCCCCGACTGTAATCCAGCGGCACAAGCAGCTCAGATTGCTGGACACAGCCCAAGAATGCAGTGACACTGAAGTCATCGTTCACACAATCAAATGATATGGTATGTCAGATACTGGTCCCATAAAGCTCAAATGTATTTCAATACCTCCACCTCTCTGTGTTTCTATCTGTGTGCACATCAATGTCTGAGCAGCTTTGTTTTCAAAAAGTTCTTAGAAGTAGCAGTTTGTTTCTCTTACTGCCTTTTTGTTCAGGCAGTCTCAGTATCAATGCTCTTGATGTTTGTCCTACATAGCCCTGTTGTCTGGCTACCATTAGCTGCTATGCCCGCCTTGTGTAGCAAATTACATATAATTACATTTCCTGCCAGTGGTGTACTGTCCTGTTTGTACTGGTTGTTCCTTTGTGTTTATCTTTGAAGAAAATATCAAGCACACTGCCGCACTGGCTTCGTCAGCAGAATTAAATAAAAGCTACCACTCTGTGGTGCAGTGTTGGGCAACTTAGTGCACTGTTCTGCCTTCTGTTTTATCTTTTGGTGGCAGCAGGGCTGCAGCTAGATGGCCAGTGGTGGAATATTACTAAGTTACTTTGCAAATTAAGATTTTCACACACTAAACATATGAAAATGTACAAGTACAACTGAAAAACTCACAGAATAATCCACTGATAGAAATTTTGATTCATCCTTCATTCATTCCTGATCATTTAGACATTTTTTAAGCAAAAATGTGTATGTTTATTTCCTTATTTATTTTGCATCAGTTTTGATTTTGCAGTAAAGGAGTCACTTTGGGCTATGGATCATTGTGATGTAATTTCATTTTCAGAACAAACCAAACAGTCAGTCAATTAATTGAGATAATAATCAACACATTCATCCATAATAAAAATCATTATTTGTTGCAGTCCTACACAAAATAATAAAAAAAATATCTATCTACCAACTACAACAGTAAAATCCTGCTTTTACGTAAATACTTGAGTGACATAATTGAAATAATTATTTTAGTGTTAAAAGCAGGATTTTACTGTTGATAGTATAACAGTCATGGGAGGATTTAGAGATAGGTGACACATGCAGTACCTTTAATCAGTTGGGTGTTGAGTGACACAGAGAGCTTGACGTCAGGGATGACATGTAGTGCCTTGTTTATTCTCGTGTAGTGATTTCACATGTTTGCTAGGAAATACTTCATATGGACGATTTCATAGGATTCAGTGGTTTAGGTTCAGTAGGTTGGCTATAACTCTATCAGGGTCACACACAATGCTGATAGTTGATGGGCGTCACCATATCACTACAGGGTCATTCAGTTGATATCACTTTCAACAAGAAGAAAGTATGGACAGTTTATACAGTCACACATTAGACACAATCGCTCACTGATTTTAAAGTTGCCCTTGCTGCTTTAACGCAGACAGTGGTCACTAAATATGTAAAAATGCAGACTAATCACTCAAAATTACATGAAAAATTAGCATTTTACCTGCTCAAGCGCCTGTCTCGCATTAAGTCCCTCCTTATCCTACCCCCACCCCGCACATATCTTTTAGCATCATCGTCATTGTGTATAGATTTTTCTGATTACTAAAAACCCAGAGAATATTTTGATTCTTAAAATAAATCACCATAGGGGGAAAAACTAATTAAAGATACATTACAACAAAAATAATAAATTTTTAACAATGACTTCTGATATTCAAGACTGTTAATAATGCAATAGTGGCTGCAGTACCAGTCTTTACCAGAATTTGATGGCTAACGTGGCATGGAGGAAATGAGATTGTCATTGCAGTCAAAGCATCCTCTGTTATCATATAGTTGATGTGCGTCACCCTATCACTACAGTGTCAGAAAGACTGGAGAGTTTATGCAGTCACACAATAAACACACACAGTTAATCGCAGTTAAATTAGTTGTGTTTTTATCTAGGTTGTGGAAAATATAGTTTGAAACAAACAGAACAAATTTCCGGGACTGTGGTAAGTATATACTAGAAGCAGGGTATGGGTAACATTACAACCCTGAAAAACCGAGGAACAAGGGGATTGGGGAAGTAGAAGTGGATTGGGGAAGTGGTTTGGTATATGTCGGGTAGCTGCATTTCATTAATAGTTCCCCTTCCAGGTACTTAAATGTGATGCACTTGACCTTGTAGTCAGTAGTCATGATGGATTGTCGGCCAGTGATGTGTGCTGTGATATCTTGTGCCTTGCAGGTGCTTCACAATAATTCATGATGCCTTTCAATGAGGAGTACTAGAAAAATATAAAATGATTTTTTATTTGGCTGTTGATATTATTTTTTAAATATATGTCCCATATCAGATTCCATTGTGAACAGATCAGTATCCCGAAGTGATGTTGCACAAAAGAACAACACGTCATACAACACACACAGCTGTCATATGTAAGTACATATGGAGGCCGCTGAGGACAACATGTATTGTTTAATTTATAAATTGATGTGCAGTGAAAGCCAGTGAATTCATGAGCAAAAGATAACAGGGATGGAGATGAGGAGAAAGTCACATTTTTTGTGGAACGATGGCTGCAACTTCTGTACAGAGACGTGTGTAGATGCGGAGTTGGAGCAAACAGACTGCAAAGCAGACTGGTTACAATTCGACCCCTGAAGTTTTGTTTGTCTTAAGTGTTATCCTGAATACATGGAGTTTCATAACTAGGTTCGAGAACAAAGACCACGCCCCGAACTCACCTCATTTCCGCTCAAAAAACATACTTAAGCACACCTTATCCGTTCACTCCCTCCTTGACTCATATTCTACATCCCTCCCTCCCTAACCCTTTTTTTCGTCATTGTCTCTCCCTTTCTTATCCAAACACAGGAACCACTGGGGCCCTTGAAGAGTTAAAGAGACGGCTCCCCCACTCAGCGTCTCAGCACCCACTCTGTTCCCTCCGACCATTTCGCCAAACTTCTCCCTCCATCCACCTACCTAACCAGTCTTCCTCCCTTTCTATCAATCCTCACCCATCCTTCCCATATCCCCTCATCCCTCAACCCCTTCTCCTCATCCCTCGACCCTTACCCCTTCATCCCTTCATCCTTTCATCCCCTCCACCCGTTAACCTTTTTCCTCCCACAGCATTCCACATTCATTCATAAATGTGTAATAAACTTTTCTTAATCCATAAAGCTGTTGGCTTGGTCTTTGTTAGTGAATAACGCCGTAATGTCCTTCCACTGACGACCTCCATTGCGGCTGTCTTCCATGTTTGTATTCACTGAGTGACTGTATGTGATCTAGAGTGACGTAAAAAAGTCTCATGAATTCTGATCACACTCAGATCAGATTCCATGTGTGTTTGCTGTTTGTCATGAAACAAATAGATCTGAGTCACATATGAGCAAAAGAAAATCTAAATTGCAGTATCCACAGAGGATGCAGGCTGAGATGCAAGAAAATCATGCAAAGATAGACAGGAAAGGAGGAAATGAGCAATGAGATGTCCTCTCCTTTGAAGCATCATGTGAAGTTTTATGAAGTGTGTTTCTGATGACGCCAGCACAGCTGGATCTGCTGCATAAAGCAGTCGGTGTTGTTAACGTTACATTCATACTGACACTGACAGTTGCCCCCTCTCCCTGCCTTCATGACTCTATTTAGACACAATCACTTATATTTACCTCCCTATATTTAACCTCTGACGCTGGTAAATGAAGCCAACATGGAAGTAACAAAAACAGCAGTTCCTCAAACAGCCACTTGACGCTGGATACAGAAGTGATTTATCTCCTTAAGACCCATATTAGAATACCCAACTGTACAGCAGAAATAAACATATTTACAGCCTGGTACAAAAATGTACGGGGGCTGAATTTTAATAAAACTCACCCATATAGAACTAACCCCTTTGATATAAATGCTAGTTTGAAATCAGTCAAACATCCAAGGGACTATCAAAGTTTTCTGTGCCAAAAGCCCCACACAGAGATGTCCTTATTGTAGACTATACTTTAAAGAAACCAGTGTGTAAGATTTAGTGGCATGTAGCTGTGACATTTCAGATTGCAAGTAACTAAACATCGCTGGTGTCTGTATTTGTCGACCTGGGAATGAGAACAGGTTGTGAAGTATGTAGGAGAAACTATGGTGGCTGCAAAATGCGCAAAAAAACGCAAAGGGCCCTATCTACAACCAGTGTTTGTTTTGTCCCTTCTGGGCTACTGTATGGCAGTTCAGCATGGCGGACTCCACGGACGGCGAGCCACAATGTCCATTCTAAGGTAATAAAAACACAATGATTCCTATATTCACAACTGAAAAACATACCTATAAATATTGTATTCCATTTCTGCCAATAGATCCTCCTAAATGTTAAACGCTGGACCTTTTAATATGAATTAAAATTGAATTAAATTTTAATTTATATGCAAGCAGAGAAGGCTGACACAAGCTGATAAACAGTCAGTCAATCATGATTAGAATAGCTCACTGGTTGTAATAAGTTTTGTTTTGACAAAATGTCCCTGCGGTGGCGAGTCTTTCCTAGAAACAGTTTACAAGCTTATGAACGTCAATAAGCATTCCTTCTGCACACAGCCTCTCCACTCTTTAATACACACATATAATAGTATACACACACCCATTCCCTCCCATCCACTCCCCTCTTTCTCATTGCATTGGACTATAAAAATTTGTAGAACTGAATGTCTGGGAGACTTGGTCTACTTAGTGTGCACACAAAGGATCCTTGGAACACCTTTGCTTGCACAGTTATATCTCACACCTTTTTTTCTGTTGACTTTTGCCCTTTCAGTGTGTTTCTGCTGAGGCATTGGTTGTTTTGTAATTGTTTTAGATGAGTATTGACTATACTGAGGAATTCATTTGAATGTTTCCCTTGGGGGTTTTAAACAATATGTGGTCACTAATTGTGTGAAAATGCAGGCTATTGTAAACCATATATAACTACAGTGGTGCCACTCATAATCACAAGAAAAATTTGCATCCACCTGCTAAAAAAACACAGTATGTCCCTCCCTATCCTAACCCCTGCCCACACATACCTTTTTGTGCTATAGAAATTAGCAACACACAATATCATGTATAGTTCTAAACAGATTTTTTTGTAAAACCCCAGATAATACTTTGAGTCTTCAAAAGTCATCATGGGGGAAAATTAGATACATTAAAACATAAGTAATACATTTTTAACAATATCTACTGATTTAAGAGTACAAAGTGCAAATGACAAATACTTACGTAACACATCCCCGACAGTAGGGGAAGATGATGTGACCATGTGTATGTACACTGATCAGCCAGAACATTATGACCACCTGGGCATAATGTTCTGCAGCCCCATACCAATAAAATGTGATGCACTGTGTGTTCTGACCCATTTTAATCAGAACCAGCATTAACTGTTTCAGCAGTTTGAGCTACAGTAGCTCGTCTGTTGGATCGGACCACATGGGCCAGCCTTCACTCCCCACGTACATCAATGAGCCTTGGCTGCCCATGACCCTGTCTCTGGTTCACCTCTTTTCCTTCCTTGGCCCCCTTTAGATAGGTACTGACCTCTGCAGACCTGGAACACCCCACAAGAGCTGCAGGTTTGGTGATTCTCTGACCCAGTCATCTAGCTGCCCTTGTCAAAGTCGCTCTGATCCTCTCACTGCCCATTTTTCCTGTTTCTAACACATCAACTTTGAAGACAAAATGTTCACTTGCTGCCTGATATATCCCACCCACTGACATGAGCCATGATAACCAGGTAATCAGTGTTATTCACTTCACCTGTCAGTGATCATAATGTTATGGCTGATCGGTATATATATTGTTTTGTTGTTTGTTAGTAAGAAAGGGGATGCAGATGTGACATTAGTTGATTAGATTGTTTTTTAATGCTATCTGGCTCTATATAATGCTATAACATAAGGTCTAAGGAAAATGGAACACTAATTGTTATCCTCACCAACCAAGTACACATCTCCAGTTTTCTGCCAGGGCCTCAGTGACCATTGTAGTATTGCTTGTGTACGCAATGCAATTAACGCCAAACGTCTCCCACTGATTACTTACAAACGTCTGCTAAAGATCTTTAATGAGCGGGCCTTTTTGCATGATCTAGGAATGGTACAGAATAGGCCTTATCCCCTCAGTATACCTGGTCCTATTTCAAAAACTCATTCACTTACATCATAAACAAATATGCTCCCACAAAACAAATGTAGAATCAAAAACCACTACAGCCCTGGGTTTAGTTCTGATCTGTCTGAGCTCATCTATCAAAAACCCCTGCTCTGGCGTAAAGCAAATGCCTCCAGCTACACACCAGACTGGCAGTCCTTTAAGGAAAAAGGGAACAAATGCACCCAGTCGATCAGGAGAGCAAAATCCAATTACTATAAGCAACAATTCCTAAAGACAGTTCTGGAAAAACACATCCTCTCAATCACCCACTGCAATCAAAACAGAAGACACAACACAATGGTAGACTATTTTAGTCCCTAGCACCGCTCCTCTTGCCAAAGCAACTTTCACTTCCAGCCAGTACAGGAGAAGGAGATGCTTGGGGAGCTGCTCAAACTGGATCTGTTTAGGTCTGACAGCTCAGACCTAACCGTCATATGCGCTATTGACAGAAAAGAATATTGTGTGGCCATATTTATTGACCTGGCAAAGGCTTTTGACTCTGGGGACCATTGCATTTTGCCTCATAGGCTCAGAGACATTGGACTGACTGATGAATGTCTGGCATGGTTCAACAGCTACCTCTCTGATCGTGTACAAACTGTGAAAGCTTAGGATCTCATGTCGGACCGATTATCCCTGTCCATAGGTGTCCCTCAGTGTACCATTCTAGGTCCAACCCTCTTTACAATATACATAAATAATGTGTCTTTATATACACCTATATGCTGACAACACTATCTTGTACACATCGAGCCCCTCCCAGAACACTGCCCTGTCCTCCCTGCAACTCAGTTTCAACAGTATCCAATACGCCTTCTCCCACCTTCACCTACTCCTTAACACTAATAAAACAAAATGTACAAAATGGTCTTCAACAGGAACTTACAAGTCACCAGCCCCCCTAATATCACCTCCTTGGATGGTTCAGAACTTGAATTTGTCACCTCCTACAATTAACTTTATTTGTGGTTTGAGAGTTCTCTCTCTTTCCAATCCAAATCACCCTTTTCTCCAAAGTCAAGGCCAGAATCAGTTTCCTTTATTGTAATAAGGCATCCTTTACCCACTCTGCAAAGCACAGCTTGGTCAAAATGACAAATTTCCCAATCCTGTACTATGGGGACCGAATATACGGGTTTGCCTCCAAATAAACTGGAATAAACTGGACGTCATTTTCCATACCGCTATCCACTCTGTCACAGGTGCCCCTTTCAATACTCATCACTGTAACTTACTCACTGTACTCCACACCAGTGTGTGGTTATGGATCCTGATGATTTAATTTCATTGCCAATTGTGTTTATAGAATTCTGTTGAGTAACCATCAGAGCCAGGTGACTTATTGTTGGGCATGGAAAAAATGACTTTTCTAAGTTTATCTGAGGTTATGGGTCGGTCTAATATGGTGGCTTGTTCATTGGATAATTTTGGGAGGTCAGTGCTATCAAGTTTGCTCATTGGGGGAGTGGGAATGTTGCATGTGCAGAATTTTCAGTTTGTGTTCCAGTTCTTGCTGTTTTTCTTGTTCCTTTTTTCTTGTGTGTGGAGTATGAGATGATATGTCGCCTACTAACTGCTTTTGCTGTTTCCCAAAGTACTGATGGTGAGATTTCTGGGGAGTCGTTCACCTCCATAAAGGATGTCCACACTCTGGAGAGGAGATTCTTGAAAGGTTTGTCTGCTAGAGGTGAGGTGTAAAGTAAAAGTGGACTGTCATTTTCAGAAAACATACTCAAATTATCCTTAGTGAAGCAATACAGTTCTTAGTAGCTCCCAGAAATTATTTGCAATGCAGTTTAGCTACTAGCTATTATTCAAGCAATGCAGTTTAGCTCACAGACATTATTCAGGCTATGCAGTTTAGCTCCCAGACATTATTCAGGCTATGCAATTTAGCTCCCAGACATTACTCACGCAATGCAGTTTAGCTCCCAGTCAATAAAAAGTACAGCAACTGGGATGATCTGATAAAAGAAACAAATAATGTGCTTTA